TTGGGATTAGAAGATCAGAGCCCAGCCATGGGGGCCATAGTTTCTGGATCCCAAACCAAGGCAAATGGTCTGAGGAAAGACTTAGGTCAGTTTTCTGGAGCCAAAGGCAATCTGGGAGCCACACCAGGATGCTAATTACCTCCTGAGGCCTTCTCGGACATTTTGGAGTAGAGGTGCTCCTGTCTGTCTGCACACTGAATCAGCTGGACCTGCTACTGCAAATCAAGCCACTTTCATTTTCCCCCAGGTCATTGGGGGAAATGTTAGCACACTGATTTTGCAAACAAATGTTTTTCTCCTATGTTTTTCCTATGTATTAACCTTTAGTTAAAAGCCTTTAAGACTGAGCTGTGGCAGATAATCTCTTGGCAGAAGGCAACTAGCCAAGCAAGAGGCAGGACCCCTCCATTCCATCACCTGTTACCTGCCCCCCTTCAACCCTGCTGGCCTTTGCAGTCTGGAGAAGGGGCCTGGATGGTCTTTAAGGCTCTCCTTTGACTTGCTCTATTCCCATTGGCATGTTAAAAAAGAGATACTGCAGCATATAATATGTGAGAAGAAATGTGGGAAGCACAAAGGCTGCCTGGCTGGTTGATGGCTAACCTGTTCAGCGTAAGGGGCAGTATTTGAGAGTGGAGGCTGGACATGCTGAAAGGTGAGAGAAAGGAATTGGAGGACAGGAGGAAAGGGCTTGGAGCAGGCTGCTAGGGGGACTGGGACCTGCAGGTAAATGTGGCCAGGGAGAAATTTCTGGGGCCAGGAGTTCAAAGAATTTTTAGGAACTGGAATGTCATGTTTAATTTTTAAGTTTTTCATAGAGCTATGATATAAAAGCCCTTTGCTAACTTGAACCTTTAGTAAAAGTTGTTGCATGCACATGCACACGCATGTGAGGACTCAAGCACATGCCAGACTCTGGTTTAGAGAATCTAAAATATCAAACTCACAGGCTCCAAAGTGCTGGCATAATTCACAGGCCTGGATCCAGACACCTCACTTCAGGGTGTTATTTTACCACATATCTCTAGGGGGTGCCCTCATAAGCATAATGTAAAGGCCTAGAGAACCTGCCTATTCCCTGTCCTCACAGTTCTTAAGTTTCCATGGGGGAGAGGGGGAGACAGTTACAAGGGGGTAGGGGGAGGTTGGGGGATAAGGTAGAGGTAGGCCAGTGAAGGCACAGGCTTGAGCTTAGAGAGACCTCACTCCCTTCAGGCAAGACCCTCCTCTATTTATAAAGATGGTGCCCAGGTCTCTAGGACAGAATGGACAGTGAAGCAGAATTACATCACAATAACCACAGCACACAAAAACAGAATTTACCCAAATTCAGTATGAAAGGACTTACTTGAGGCTGCTGAATCTGCTAACAAGTGTTTCAAAGATGACAAAACCAACAAGCAAGCAGCATAGGAATACTAATAGAAAACCAGAAACAGTCAATCCGGCTTAGACAGCTTGATTATATATTTGCGAACCTGTTGGCTTTTGTTTATGACTTTATATTTCATATGTGTATTATAGATGGGAAAAATTACTCCCAGTTCAACACAATGGACATTAAATATGTCAATAATTTATGGTGTTCTCAAAAGAATGACACTATTTTCAAATGCTGGACCGTGTGAATTCATTTGAGCACCACTGATTTATGAAAATATTGTGAAATAGGGAAAGGTGTGCAAATCTTGGGACATGCGGTCATCACGCTATGGCCAAGGCTCTGTTGTGTGTATAATGCCCCAAACAAGGGATGCCCTCCACTCAATACAGCCCTAAATCTCAGCCCAGCAAATGAGGAAACTTTCCTATGGTGATCTAAGTCTCTCAATCCAAACTTATCTTCTTCTCCTCTGTTTCTTAAAATTATTATAAGGGTTGGGGAAGCTCTAGGCCCTCAGAGAAAGGCCTGGCACATTTTGCCTCTGCCTTGCTTTCCCAGAAATGTGTAAGGACATCTTGGGGTATCTCACTCCTCTCTGCAAAGGGTCTGATGTGGACAGCTGCATCGGCTTGATGCCTCTCTCCAAGCACAGAGGTTTCCTTTGTGCCCCTGCAGTCCTTTTTTCAGGCTTCTATTACATGGTACTTACACTGCTTTTGAGACACTTTTCCACTGTGTTTTAAAAGCCAGCCCTGGCATGTCTATAAACATCAGTTCATATTCCTGGAATAAATCTTTTTTGTGTTTCATCCTCTTACCCACAGGGATACAGATGGCATGTTTTATGTGGCGGCCACTATTTACAATTCAACCCCATGGAGGTCCATGAGATGCCACAAATGTAGCCCACACAGGAAGACAGCCCCTTGGGCAGAGACACTTGTCCCAACAAGCCAGGAGTGCAAGGAAAGGCCACACCCTGAAAGCACATGGGCCAAGGCACCCTCCACAAAGGGTCGGTGGGGTCCTGGGCATCCCTGAAGGCACACAGGAGGCAGACTCCCCTCAAGTGACAGCGGAGGGTACATGGCCAGCAGCTATAGGCAGGGAAATGGCACACAGTGCCCAAAAGTGGCTGTAGACTTTAAAACACCAACAAAGAAAATCCGTCCCTATCCTACTGAGAAAGCTCACCACATTCATTTGCATGTTCATGAGCATCTGCTAGCTGAGTATCAACATCTCCTTTTTATTCTGATGGACAGCCATTAATCACAGTAGATATGACCTTGTCAGTACCTCACTAAGGGGACAATGACAGTGGGGTTTATTTGTGAGGGAGAAGAGAGGGAAAGGAAGAAGAATCCCTTTACTCTGAGGAAGCCCGGCCGCCTCTGTCTCACACTAAGATAGCATTTGCGGAAAATGTCAACAGATTGCTTCTTGAGTTTGAGCTGTGCAGACATCAAAAGCTTATTTTAACAGGGCATTTTGCTTAAAATCGCTCAGTTGGTTTAGGCATTTAGAATGTCTCTGACTATATGATTTGAATTAAGAGGTTCTCATTGGGTTTTATTGGTTTAGCACAAATCAGGGCATAACTGGAAAGACTCCTTCACAGAACCAGACCCTTTAGGCCATTAATGTAGTAAAACTTGTTCTTTGTGTTGCATTTTTAGTTTCTCTCTCTCTCAGTATCTCTCTCTCTTTCTCTCTCAAAATCTCTCTCTCTCTCTTGCTCTCTCTCTCTCTCTCCTTTGTTGCTATGCAGAGGCTTAGTGCTCCTGCATGGGGATCAGTTCCAGACTTTGGTTTGATTTCAAACAAGCCAAGCACATTTGCCTGAATTTGATTTCAAAAGGTTTTCCTATTTCTCTCATCAGGAGATTGAAGGGAGCTGAGAGGCAAGTCACTGTCTGAGTTCCAATAATGCTGCCTTGATTTTGCCAGTGTCTGGTATGACTCAGTAGACACAGTTAGGTGGACCACCCCTGCTTCCCCACAACTCTGCCCTTGCTGTCCAGTCAGGACAGAGTCTCCAAAGGCTAACTGCAAATAATGCCCTTTCCCTCCCTTTTTACTTTTCTTTCACTCTTTCTTTTCACATTCTCTCTCCATATCACATTGACTAGATCTGACTCAAAAAGTTAATGGTAATTGCTCTCATCTTAATTTAGAAAAGAGAGAGAAATGAGTGTAATTTGCAGATGTGAGCACAGGTCATTACAGGTGTGTTATATTAGTGTATTCATGAGACCTCTGAGACCAGCATGCTGAGCTATCCAATAACTTTCTTAATGTGTAATTACACACCATCGAACTATAATTGATTAATTGAAAAGAGAATGTAGGCAGATGTGAGGGCAAGTCTTCTGCTGCTCATTAAATGAATATGTCCTTGCTTCTCTTTAATAAGTTAAGTGGAACTACTCAAAAGCAATCAAGTCAGTAGTGAAATTCATTAAATTTTAAGTAATTATTGGTATTAAATTCTGTAATAAAATTCAAGACTTTGCATAGTTCTATTTCAAAAAGAAGTATGATAATTCTATGGGGCCAATTTAACAGAATGAGGATTCCAAAGAAAACTATGTCTTGGACTGAATTCTGTGTAAAAATCAGCAGAGAGGAAGAGAGAGGTGGACAAGGAGGAGGAGGATGATGCACTGCCTGACACCTGCAGTTGATGATGTGCAAAATGTCCCTTCAATATAGGAGTGTAGTGGTGTTTACTAAGTAATGTTTTCATTTAAAATCTTAATCAAAATAGTTGGAAAAAAATGAAAAAATACCTTTTTTAAAATCTAATGCCCTGAGTACTACATTTGATACTTTTTCTAACAGCTCAATGTGAAAATCAATACAGTAATTGAATACAATAGTAGTTTGGTGTAAAAGAGAATGCAGGGAGTTGAAAGCGTCTTGGAGAAAATTCTTTCTGGAGCATACTCTCTTTGGGGAAACAGACTGGGGCTATCAGGGTGATGGAGGGGTGCCTTTGATTAGGGATGGAGCCACAGATACTTCCCAGAGTCCATAAGTGGTTCTTACAGAGTCTACCACTGTTCATCTGCCCAGAACCTGGATGACTCCAAAATGTGGGAGAGAGGACCAACTCAGCAATGCTGCCACATTCCAGGTATTCCTGACAACCCCCCAGACTCAGGAGAGACCTTGGAGTCTGAGCCAATTGTAAGAACAGCCAATAGAGAGCCACACTAAACTGGCTTACTCATTCATTCACACCTGAAGTATTTCATAAGCACCTACTCAAAACTTGTGTTACGATGATTTTATATACACATATAGTTCACTAATATAATGATATGTATAGTTTCATAGAATATAGTAAATGTATAATGATCTTGTAAAAACTAGAGGTGGAAATCTATAAAATCTAGTCTGTTTATACCCTTAAGTGACATAAAATGAGGCCCCTAGGACAGGCATGCTGAAATATTCAATAACTTTCTTAATGTGTAATTACATACCATTGAACTGTAGGACCATCTTATGCCCTGCACATAGTAGCTTCTCAGTAAAAGTTTGCTGACTAAATAATGGAACCTGTGACATGGACTGTGAGGACAGCATGATGGCATGTGGCACCTGCCTGGAGCCTACTTAAAGTATGGACACGTGGAGAGTAGAAATGTTAATGTCTTGGCCAGGATAAGATAAAGATGGAGATGATGGCAGTGGAAGTGGAGAACTGATTCTAGAACCCAGGCTTCGGCTCCAACCATCAGCATCCTTAAGGGTCCCAGCATCCCTTTCTCACAATAGAAGACTGGAATTGGAAACTCATGAATTTTGGTCAGTTTTGTTTGAACAACAGATTCAACCACATATTTTTAAATCTGTATTTCAAAAGCTGAACATAACTTTGTAGGATTAGTTTTACAATTTAAAACTAATCATTGCATTTTCATTGCTCACTGGAGCTCTCATTGAAGACATCCAAGGCTGTCAGGCTGCCAGTTCCTGAAGGGACCATTCACAACCGGGCCTCGTGAGAGGCAGCCGCACTGCAGCCCTGACTAGACACACAGAGTAGGGGGATATGTGGCTCGTACCACTTTCGTAGGAGGAGAGAAAAGGATTTTATGTCTACTCTACTCCAGTTGGGGAAAAAAAATGTCCAGTCCTCACACACATGTAGTTTTAGAAAGCATAACTAAAGCTAAAAATACATTAGACTAACTAGGCATATTAAGCAAAGAAAGAAATAAAAGCCAGGGCAGTGGAAAGACATTAGGTCTCATTTTCTGTTTGCATGTTCTCTGGTCATTATAGGCACCTTATTGTCCTACAGATCATTTTAATACTGAATGTGATCACGATAATCTGTGTATGAGCAACCCAACTATGTTAAAGAGGGGCCCTTTTTAAGGGAGATGCTCTGGAGTTTTAACAATTTCACCACACTTTACTTACATTATTTTTGGTTTTTCTTTCTGTTTTTCATTTTTATGACTACAACCGAATACCAAATATATTCCAGACAGACCAAAGGAAAACTGAGTCTTATCAATCAATAATGAAATGCCCAAATAATATATTTTGAAACTTAACAGCATATAAAAAAGATGGCCAAAACAATGGGTGGTTATGTTCACTTCCAAAAGACAAGTAGAATTTTAAATGGTTAGTTAATTCAAATAATCTGTGAATGTGGCATTATAAGAAATTTAATTTGGAGGATTAAGTAGCAAATCCTTTTGGTTGATACTCTTTTTTCTCAAAAATCATTTTATATTAGTTCAATGTCTAATTTAGCAAACCCAGTATACTCAATAAAAAGTTTTTTCGTTGATGAGGATCTTGAAACTATTTAGGATTATTATTGCATAAATACAGTGGACCCTTGACTTATGAACTCAATTTGTTCTCGAGGGCTGGTTGTAACTCAAGTTGGTCAATGAAGGCTCAGGCTCCTCTACACAGCTTTCAAAGTCTCTCTCCTGCATACAGGCAGATCTCAGTGTCCTTAGAGAGACATTGGCCCAGGATTTCTCAGTTAACCCCACATAGGAAAGGATGTTGTAATGTTCCTTCCAGAACTCTTTAAGGGTTTAATCTGTATCTGAGACCATCTGGAAGCACAAGTAGCCAGGATTCGGGTTGTAACTCAAGACCCTGTTCCTAAGTTAAAACTAAAATTCCAGTCATTATCCAAGTTGTTTGTATGTCACACCAGCCATACTCGAGGATCCACAGTACCAGTTCTCCATCTAGAGTCCTCTACTGTGCAAACTGTAAAGAACAATCTAAATCCAATCATCAAAAGCTGTGTAGCATAAGATTCCCTTGTTACTTTTTAGAAACAGTAATTCTGGCTCTTCATGTTTTTTGTTTGTTTGGTTGGTTGGTTAGTTTGGTTTATTTTTTGAGATGGGGATCTCAATATGTTATTCAGGCTGGCCTTGACCTCATTGTGTAGCCCAGGCTGGCCTTGAACTCACAGCAATCCTCCTATCTCAGCCTCCCAAGTGCTGGATTACAAACCTGTGCCACCACACCCAGCTCATGTGACTTATTTAATAGCATTTCCTTCTTTCTCTTAAAAGCTGAGTATAAAAGAGGATTGTACTGTATTTCCTTCTATGAACATCTATTCTGTGTCAAACATGCTATATTATCTTATTTGATTTTCACACCAATCTTCGATGGTATATACAATTAATATTCCCATTTTCCAGATATGGAAACTGACCTTCCCAAGGCCACAATGCCTGTAACCCATATAGCCAGGAAGTGAACTAAGTTTGATAGTTCCAGGGCACATACACTGCAAGGCCTGTATGTCACTTTCAGAGGGAAAGGGCGACTGCATTTTTGTTGATGGAGCTTCTATCCCTCTTTAAATAATTCAAATTTTTGAACCTTCTTTCCTAGTTTATATTTCTACAGTTTAAATCACTGTGATCACTGAATCATTCTAGATCACAAATATTTTTAAACTCCAGTTTTTTGTTTCTACTCTGATCTTGTTTTTCCCACTTCATACAACTAGTGACTTAATTAACACCCTTACCCAAAAATCTAAATTTATAAGAAAATGAGCTTGAAATGAAATCTTCATCAATTAGGGCTGGGGATTTAGCTCAGTGGCTCCGCCACCTGCCTCACAAGCACAAGGACCCAAGTTCGATCCCTGGTACAAAAAAAAAATCTTCATCAATTATTTCCATTAAGATGACCATAAGAAGTTGATGGCCAGGAGCAGGGATTTAGCTCAGTGGCACCGCGCCTGCCTCACACATGCAAGGTCCTGAGTTCAATCCCCAGTACCAAAAAAAAAAGAGAAGTTGATGGCCAATATTTTTGGACATTCATTTGCAGTCTCTTTGCAGTTGCCTTCCCATCTGTGAGGGCTCTATCCTCATTATACTGTGCCTGAACTGTTCTATCTTCAAACATTTCCCCGGGCCTCCTACAATCTAGGAAAGCACTTCTTTCATAATACTACTTCCTGGGTCAAGTATCTAATAAAGATCCATATAGCAAAAAAACCAAAAGTAAAATTTAACTGCTTTGCTCTCACTGTTCTTAGTCATCTGAACACCATGATCTACCAAATGAATTCTATCCTCACCACCCAGAGAGAGACACCAGTCTATGCTTTCACACTGTGTGCATGGTGCTCATCTCCCTCACTGTCGTCCCACTGACACTCACCCTCCAAGGACCAGCCCAACTTTCCTTTCCTCTGAGGACCTATTCTCATAATTCTAGCCCACCATTTCTTCTTATTAAATGACCTTTGACTTCCTAACTGAACACATACATATTTTAATGTGCCTTTCTATTCTTTAATCACCATACTGCCCTATCTGACACTTTACACTGGAATACATTGTTCATATAAGTATAGTTTGTCATCTCCTTAGGAGGAGAATCCACATTTATACTTTGTTAGTACTGTAACAAATTACTTTTAAGCACAGCAGTAAAGCAGTGGGTGACAGTAGGCACCCAATAAAATGTATGTCAACTGAAAGACAAATATCTTCAAAATCTAGGTGACACACACACCCTAGCCACCTACTAGTAGGCTAATTCTATTTTTTGAGATGTGTGCATGGCACTAAATTCCCAGATTTTTTAAAAAGGTTTTACTTTATATAGACATTGCATTGCCTTATAGACATGCACTGTATACAAAAGCACAAATCAGAGATATAAGAAACTATTCAGACCAAATAAACCAGGAAGAATATATTTCTCAAGAAAAGGTATTTTGAGTTTAAATTATTAAAATTGGCTGTCTTCATTGATGCAGCTCAATTTTCAACATGGCTGATTTGATGACAGAATACTGTTTAAAAATAAAAATGCATGAAAGCTAAGGAAAAATAAAAATTTTATTATAACTTGATATTTCCACGTTATTTTTTATGTATTTGCATGTAAAACATCAAATTAGTATAGAAAAATACTACATAAATGTTTGTGATGAGTTAAATGTCATACTTATAAACACTTTAGTTATGCTTTAGTTTAATTTCATTTTCCTTTATATGCATAACTACATTTCAACAAGGATATGTTATCTTCATATATATTTTTTTTAATACATTTTCAAAATTCAAGCTATCTGGTAAATATATAAATATTTCTCCAAGCCAAAGCTAGTGTTTAGTTCCCTGAAACAATGTGAAAATTAAAAGCATCACTGATTGAAATGGCCACATATTGGAGGCTCCCTAAATATTTCATATAACTTAATCTGGGACACTTTCCACGTGAAGGCCTTCTCCTATCACATGCTCAATATTTAAATATATTCTCTTCCTCCTCATCACAGACCTAACCACTTAAAAATGTTTAGGTGAGTGTTTTCTCCTCCCCATCCACACAATGGAGTGTATAGCATATTCAGATATAGTGTTAGAATCAAATTCAGATTTGAATTTTCCATTCAAAGGAAAACAAACTATATTGAGATCTGTACACCATAAATACCAGAGTATTCCACACAATTGAGTTTGAGATGCAACTTTTCCTGTACTACAATCTGATGCCCTAAACATAGATAATAAAATTCTGAAGTGTAGGAAACACACTTATGTGTATGTACTTCATCTCTTCTGCAGGTTGGAAACTTCTCCAAGAGATACTGATTAGGGCTAAGGACATCTTAATTTATAAAACTATATGTTTTCCTGATGCAATTGGCAGCTTCTTCCATCAAGATAGAGCAAGAGATCATTGCTCCTCTTCCAATGTATCTTTACAACTTTTCAGGAGAAATACTGAAAAACTTTGGATGCACAACCCAAAGTTGAACACTGAGTAACTTTCTGCATAATTAAGGCAAGTGTATTGTTTACTATTTTAAACCCAGCTTAGCTGGGATATGTCCTAAGTAGTTCAGCATCCTGTTTGCAAGAATGAACAGAGCCGTCCATCAGCTCCACTGATGGCAAAGTGTACAGCAGTAAAATGCTCAGCCAAGATAGCCAGAAGCCAACCTCAACTCCACCTCATCAGCAACAGACACATAATCCAAAATCAACTTTCAAGCATTTCATTTTTACCTGGACTAGAACCAGGGAGATGGGAATATGCTCATTCAACAATAGTCCTTGAGAATCTCGCCTGCATACTTCATTGAATTTATATCATCACTGGTTGTTAAGAAGCCATTATTTTAATATCACCATGGAGAAAGCACTGCCAATTAAACAATGACAGGTCATCAATTGTAATATGTGACTCTCATTTCCTAGTTGTTAAAATGTTAGAATTGAAGCATATCTGAGAGTCCAGGAAAAATGGTGTGAACCAAGCATGGTTCTCCGGGACCCAGCAATGAACAAGACCAAAAAAGCTCCTGCCTCATTGAGCTCTCGGCCAGGGGAGCCTCATCTGGAATCGAAGAGAATGAGCACAGCAGCCAGCAGGACTCAGTTCCTGGTTGTATATAGCTATACAGTAGGGAGGAGGAGCAGTTCCAAAGAGCTCTCCTGGAAAGCTGACTCCTCAGATCAGAAAAGCAGGAACTATACAAAAGCCACAATCAGAAAAGACATCTGAAGCCAAAACACAACAAGAAAATACATTACTTTAAAGATTCTTGTTTTCTTGTACTTGCTCATTTGCAGCTTAATCTTAGGTTTCTATCATCTTTCTTCCCTTTTAAAACTTCTTTTCCCCAGTCCTTTATCATCTCCACATTTCCACCTCTAATTTCTTGCCTCCTTTACTACCTACATGTCATTCCTCTCAACTCTAAATATTTTTATACTTTTTCCCTTCTTCTTCCAAGAAAATTTCATTAGTTTGCTCTGACCATAAACCATGTATGATTAATTTAGTTCTCATTGGTTACTTGTGTGCTTTTATATCAATGATATCCTGTTCAATTTCCTGGTTTTGCTTGATATATGATCTACAGTTTCCTGGAAGCCATCAGAGCAAATTCTCTTTGGTATTTTAGGTAGTTGTTCAGTTCTAGCAATTAAACCAATGAGGAAAAGTGTGACTGACAGCTGACTCCCATATGCTACTTTATGGCCAGAAGTCTCAAAGGAAATAAATCCATTTACCATGAGGAATATAGCCCTATCAAATCAAAATACTTCAAGCCTTTTAAAATTGACTTTAGTAATCATAAAAAAGTATCAAAATCGTCAAATGGAAACTTATCATTTATACATAATTATGGCTGTCAGATTTTAAAAGCAAACTCAAATGCTTATATCACATTGAAAAACATATTTTCTATAGTTTAAGCTGTTATATTAATGTCCCAAGTCTACAGAATTAAATATATATATATATACTTTGGTCCTGTTTTTGACAATTTATTAGGCACTGGGAAACCTTAAAACATTGACATGTCCTTTGGAATAAGCTGCCCTTCCTAACATTCCCCATAGATGTTCTTTTTGACATCAGAAGCCTACCAAAGAACTGTTACTAAAAAGATGCTAGAAAGAGGATCTGAATTAATTTCTTAATTCCTTCATCTACAATCATAGATTGAATTCCTTCTCTGGCCCTGGGATGAAAAAATGTGTAAGACCTGGTCCCTCCCCTGAGAAGGTAGCAGACCACAGTGTCTTCCTGGAGAACATACGCTCTTCCATATCCGGCTCTGGCTCTAAGAACTATTGTGATGTGCTGTGCGAGAAGTCATGAAAAATATACCATTATGCCTCAGACCTTTTTTGTGCAAGGGCCTTATAACTAAAAGGCAAAGATCTCCCATGCTCTGGAAAAAGAAGCCTGCTGGGAACTAAGGGCCTCTGAACAAATCATAGCCCCTACTCCCCTAAAAGCCCCTATATCAGACCAGAAGCTAGAAAACTCTAACCATTCCCCAGGTGGCCTCTCCCCCAAATAAGGGAGCTTAAAGGGGAGTTAAAATAGGGCCTGCACAGGTGGAAAGAGAAAGGAGATGGTCCGCTGTGGTCCAGAGGGTCTTTATATAGTAAAAGAAAAAGGACTAGAATCACAAGACCATGGCAGTCATGGGAGCCGAGAGACAGAGAGGAGAGGGAGAGGGAGGGAGGGAGGGAGGGAGAGGGAGAGAGAGAGAGAGAATGGGGAGAGGGAGAGGAGGGAAAGAGAAACAGCAGACACAGCTGGAGAATAAGGTGAAGCAATGGCACAGACAGTGGGAGAGGGCTGGGCAGGTGAAGCACTACAGCTCAAGTGGCATCGGTCCCTTCACCTGTGTTACAGTCTAGATGGTCTTGCTAGAGAGCAAAACTGTGCCACTCATACTGGAAATGCCCTATTCTTTAGTCCAAGATTGTTACTTTTACTTCCAGAAAGTTTTATTTAAAAAAATAATAATGCAAAAAACTACAAGACCATAGGAATAGCCTTAGACTAAAGATATCCAGAAAACAAATTCTCTAGAGGATAATTAGTTCCTGGGGAGCTCTGGATCATTCTACTCCTTTGGGGCTACTTCAATTACTATTCAGGAACCTAGTACACAGAATACTATACATATGCATATGCATATGTCATATGATGTTTTATTTGATGTGGTGGGAGTCCAAGTGTGTCACCGTGAATTCTAACTTTCAGCTTCTATGCTGCTTAGCCATAACAACAGAGCAATAGTTTGTAAACTCAAGTTGAGCTGGGGCATAAATCTGGCTTTGTTTAGAACAATGGTATTAAGGGGAGGGCCTTTGGTCAATTGCACCTATTTTGGAAAGCTTATTAACTTTCAAATGAAATACGGCAGTTCCTATCACCTTTGGAGAGTTCTCATATCTCTATGATCTAGCAAGAAAGTTCTAGCAATGGCTAATATTTGACAGCAATCCAAAATTTTCTCTCATTGCTGTAAGGAGGATAACATGTACTGGTAGGCTGGGCTGGGCTGATCTTATTTTAAAATAAATATATTTAGAACCAAAGGCCTGGGAGCAAAAAGGATTCAAGTCATTGTTAGGACTTCGTAAACTTGGTCTGACTGCTGTGGCCTTGGCCGGTAAGGAGGGATGAGTACAGTGCATAACCAAGAGTTATTTGTTTTATGCACGCATAGTTCCAAAGCTCCAATTCCGAATTTAATTAATATCAGCGAAGTCTTTCAAGCTAAGGAAGAGGGATACTAGTCTTTGTAAAAAAATTTAAAAACTTTCAATACCACCAAAAAAATAATGTAGTATATATGCTATAATGCTCTAGCCAAAAAAAGACTTAGGGAGAAAAAGGATATATGAAACAAGATTAGCCTTGAGTTAGTAATTCCAAGGTGAAAGGTACATGGGAGACTAGGATAAAACTCACTGCTCTAGTTTTATGTATTTATGTAATCTACAAAAGTGTTAAGAATTTCCATGAAATAAGACAACTAAAATCCAGACTCAATAGGATGGTGTCAGTTATTCGACCACCTACAAATGCCTCCCCACCCCTTAGCCTTTGGGTACTCAACTCTTGGCCATCTGAGACAGTAGCCCACATACAGGGCATCTGGCTTGCATTTTCCCACCTCCCTCCCTTGCCCATACTACTTCCCTCTTCTTGGAAAACCTCCTTCTCTTATGCACCAGCTCCAACTGTCAAAATCCAACTCCTATAAGGCCTAGATCGAAGGTATCTGCCTTTAAGTCTTTAGTGACAGAATAAAGAAATAATCTCATTCTCTCATTCTCCTTTGTACCCCAAAATTTTATTCATACTCTTCCATGACAAAGCTCACTGTGTGATAACAATCATGATTATAATGAATCATAATGATAGCGGCTAACATGTACTGAGTGCTTACTATGTACCAGGCCCTTTTAAAATACTTTCAATTCCTCTAACATTCTCTGACCTTGTTGCCTTTTATTATCACATTTTAGAGATGAAAATTTGAAGCTCAGGGAGTCCAAGAGGTGAGCCAGGGGTCCAGTGTTATGTCAGATATTTGACGATAAACATTGTCTTTGTATTTATGACCCTCAGTCAGAAAGTCTAAGTAAGGAAAACTCCGCTTTTTGACCTGACAGCCTACATACTTGATGACTACAATACTGTATATGTTTTGCTCTTTCTACTGTAATTGTAAACTCCTTTTGGAAGGGATTGCATCTTATTCTATTTTGTGCCTCCATCTGCATTGTCTAGTACAGTGATGGTGAACCTTCTAGGGCTTTCCATGATAACAAACAGCCCACTGCAGCACAGGTGCCATAGGTTCACCACCACTGGTCTAGTACAATGCCTTGTGCATTGAAGATGTTCAGTAAAGTCTCATTAACTGAGGACTGCATTAACACAGGGTATTTCTCCTGCAAAGGACTACATGCAACTTTTATAATCCACCTGCCTGCCTCCACAAGGAAATGAGATGGAAAAATCAGCCCACAGAATAATAGCCTAAGCTCTTTCCTCCCCATCGTCTCTGTTCACAAGGCCACAAAACTAAAATAGTTTTCATCTTCTCCCTACACTGGCATCGTAAGTGACCAGAAAGAATTCTTTTGCATACTATTTTTACTTAGCCTCCCAGCTGTGGGCTCCCTCCCTCTCTCTCTGTGCAAAACCCTCATCCCTAACAGCCTGAGAAAAGCCATAGGGATTCAGACTTTGTCAGGCAATGACTCAGGGATCTGAAACTGAAGAGAACAAGCTGGCTTTCCCCTTGAACTTCCTTTCTCTTATTTTCCCTTTCAGGACTTCTAAACCTGACTTTTTTCCAACCAAATAATAACTACATCACTTGCTACTATTCTGTGGTTACATTTTGACCTTCTTGAATACAGTGATCTTCTCTGTACTGGTCCTAAAACAATTTGGGATGTAGACTCAGTTGTCTTTCTTTCCTTCTTCAAAACCTCTCAACATCCCTCTTCTTCTAGTCATAGGTCTTTCTCTCCAAGGACCCAACTTCTGCTGTATTTCTATAAGATCTTACTCTCAGCTAGCTTTCAAGAACTAAGAACTCGCTGGTGAGCTTATAGTATGCTTAAGGAACTCCTCTACCTCCTAGCCCAATCCCATTAGTGATAGAAGCAGGTATTAAGGGAAATGAGAAGCCTTACAGACCCAAAAAGAGAGGCAATAATGAAAAAGGACTGACAATTGAGTTGGAATTTGGGGAAGGGCTAGTTACCCATGGCTGGCTTTACATGTTCCCTCCTGATTCTTGTAAGCCATATTGCTGTAGTATTAACATCATACAAATTTCCTACATTTTCTTTTATTGAAAGTTGTCTTCTTCAATTATAAACTTGACTATGCCAGCAAAACAACCCAGTGTATACATCTGTGTGCACATATACACACTCACTTATCTATGAAAAGACAGGTGGCCATGCTGAATTGTGATACACCACATAGTACTTGTTTTATCTAATGTCGCTCACTCCGATAGCCTTGTATTTTCAAATTTAATAAAAAGCATACAGTGTTATACAGTCACCAGATAAAGAATCTTGGCTACCAAGCTAAATATCTATTCATCTGTGCTGTACA